AAAAAAAAAAAAAAAAAAAAAAAAAGACTGACATCTGCCCCACAAGACACAAATGCAAAGACAAGGACCTAGGCTGGCAACAGTTTTTATCTGCTGTTCTTTTTCTTCTATCTCTAAAGTCACTTTGCAGGTACTGTACTCTAGTAATGATAATTATTTAATTTAGTTCTTTCTACCTTGATGTCTACTTTTTCTTCTTTTGCTTGTTTGTTGTTTTTATATTTATTTTTTTATTTATGGGGGAGGGAAGGATATGTTGCCACACAGAGGTCAGAGGACGACTTGTGGGGGTTAGTTCTCTCCTTCTACCACATGGGTTCTGGGGATCAAACTCAGGTTGTCAGGCTTGGCAGCAAGTGCCTTTACTGCCGAGCCAGCTGGGTAGCTTATTTTCTTTTCTTAGTACAGGGGACTGAACCCAGAGACTTGTGTATGCACAACACATGCTCTAACATTAAGCTATACCTCTATTTCACTCTCTTTAAAACATCAAAGCAGGTCTCACTCTGTAAACTTAGGGCAATCCCCCAGCCTCAGCACTGCCACACCCAGCCTGATTTTACTTTCTTGTGGATCTGTGTTTTCGCACAAATCAGAGCAGAGCTATTGCGTATCCCTTTGATGCTTCCTCCTTCCAGCATACTTACCATCAAACTGATAGTGCATGGTTTGATGGATACGCTCTGTGACACTGGCCAGCCAGTCTTGGAAGGACAAAGTCACTTGTGCCTCATCTAACAGCTGACCACAGACTAGGAAAAGGAAAAAAAAAACTTTTTTCATTAACTTTACTTTTCTTTCAAAATAATTAACTAAAGCTTGAAATGGTCAAGTAGTTTAGGAAAAAACCATAAAAATTAAGTACAGAGAAAATAAACTAAGTGAAATAGGTTCCAGGCCTTTTTCTATTTAATTGACATATAACAATTATACATTTTTATGATGTGCAGTGTGATAACAGACTTCTTTTTTTAATAGATTTATTTATTTATTTAATGTATATAAGTGCTCTATCAACTTTATGCCAGAAGAGGGCATCAGATCCCACTCTAGATGGTCTGAGCCACCATGTTGTTGCTGGAAATTGAACTCAAGACCCGTGGAAGAGTAGCCAGTTTTCTTGACTTCTGAGCCATCTCTCCAGCCCCCAAACATTTTTTGTAAATATTTATTTTATTTATGTGTATACATGGGTACTTGGGTGTTCTCTAAGAGTAGCAAGTGTTCCTAACTGCTGAGCCATCTCTCCAGTCCCAAAAAACTTAAGAAAATAATCCATTTATACTGGGCCTGATGGTGTATCCCTGTAATTCCAGCACTTGGGAGGTAGAGGTAGGAGAATGGTAAGTTCCAGGCATACCTGGGCCACATTGCAAGTTTGAGGCTAGTCTAGGTTACATGATACCCTGTCTCAAAAGAACAAAAGTAAATTAATTTGCAAAAATGAATGAAAGCCCTCAAGACCAATAGGTTTGAGACTATTACCCCAGGCTAGGAAGATGTTAGCAGCTGAGAAGGTCCTGATCTTCCAGAGCACTCTAATCCTGATCCTCACAACCACCTTAGTTCCAGTTCCTAGGGATCCTGTACCCACTTATAGAAATTACTTCCAATTCTAAGTATGGGTTTGCATACACAAACTCTCTCAGTAATGAAACTGTTTCCTACTAAGACTGGCATGCCTGGAGTGGTGATAGATACCTGTTTGGGACATAGAGGGAGGAGGAACATGAGTTCAGGGCTGCCTGTGGCTACACAGCAAGTTTTGAGAAAAAAAGATTGGTTGGGTGTAGTGGTTCATGCCTTTAATCCTAGCACTCGCACTCAGGAGGCAGAAACAAGTGGATCTCTGTGAGTTCAAGGCCAGCCTGAAGACACTCATCAAGTTCTAGGACAGCCTAAGGGCTACATAGTGTGACTGCCTCAAAACCAAATCAAGCCAAACCAGGGTCTGGAGAGATAGTTCAGAGGTTAAGAACACTGGCTGCTCTTGAAGACCTGGATTTGATTCCCAGGACCCACAAGGCATCTTACAATTGTTTATAATTCCTGTTCCAAGGGGATCAGATGCCCCTTCTGGCCACTGCAGGTATTCATCATTCATATATTACACAGACATACACACTGGCAAAATACCTGTCCACATTAAATAAAACTAGTAATAAAAAATAAGAATGTTATAGAATAATCTTCTTGTATACTATAAAGATTTTTCACTCAAATTGGTTTAATAAAATGTTGATTGATCAGTAGCCAGGCAGGAATATTTGGCAGGGTAACAAATTAAGGATGGGGGGCTGGAGAGATGGCTCAGTGGTTAAGAGCATTGCCTGCTCTTCCAAAGGTCCTGAGTTCAATTCCCAGCAACCACATGGTGGCTCACAACCATCTGTAAAGAGGCCTGGCACCCTCTTCTGGCCTTCAGGCATACAGACAGAATATTGTATACATAATAAATAAATAAATAAATATTTAAAAAAAAAACAAAAAACAAACTAAGGATGATTGAAAGGGTGGAGTTAGGAGTAGCCAGCAGGTATAGAGGCACCAGGAGATAACATACCATGCTAATAAAGGTACTGCCACATGGGAGAGTGTAAACAAGGAATATGGGTTAGCTTAAAAAGGTATGCACTAGTTAGTAATAAGCCTGAGCAATTGGCTGAGCATTTACAATTAATATAAGCCTCAGAGTGGTTATTTAGGAATGGGGGTCAGGTCAAGAAATTTCCATTTATATACAGTGTTCCTAGGTATGGCCAAAATTTTCACATAAAACCTGTCAAGGCTTAAGGAAGGATTCTAGACACACAAGAACAGTCAAGCAAGGCTTATTGGTAGCTGCCTTTTCTCTAGTGGGCTGTTTGCTGGCATTGGGCAGAGGCATGTCTCTTTTAAGAGATAACTTTCTGGCTCAGTGCCAGCAGCAAAACAGGTGGCTCTTTTTAGAGGTCCTACTACCAAACATTTATACGGTGTTTATGAGCAGCCGGCAGGATGCTACTTGGTGGCAGCAAGGATCTAGAAACTTCCCAAAGTTGGGGTAGTGACTTTCAGAGCTGGTGGTAAATGTGCCTCCGCCTTAAGACTACACTTTCGGGGAACCAACAGGGAGGAGCCAGACCAGCAGGTCATGATCTAAGTTACAGAGCAGTTGTTTTTTGGTTTTTTGCATATCCATATAGATGCTCAGTAAGGACAGATTCAGACAAACAATAATAAAAACCTCTAAATGGATTACAGCGTGTTTAAAAATATATGTAGTCTTGGGAAAGAAAAGAAAAAACAACAAAATAGTCACATTCACATAAGGATGGAAAATACACAGAAAGTGTAGATTATATTATTGTGTTGTCTTTAAATTTTTTGACTGCTAAGAGAACTTGGATTATGAAAACTGCCATATTAAACCAAACTACATATTTTAAAATTATCTTTACCTCAAAATTTAAGTCAAAAGATATAGCCGGGCAGTGGTGGTGCACATCTTTAATCCCAGCACTCAGGAGGCAGAGGCAGTCAGATCTCTGTGAGTTCGAGGCCAACCTGGTCTACAAGAGCTTGTTCCAGGACAGGCTCCAAAGCTACAGAGAGACTTTGTCTTGAAAAAACAAAAACAGACAAACAAACAAAAAGTCAAAAGATATATTACTTTGGGGAGAGGTTATGTTTTTGTTTCCACAGGAAATGAGAGGCTCTGATTATTCTGGGTTAAGAAAAATCAGGTCTGATAGAGGAAGATCCCCTGAAAAATCTGGCTACAAATACAAAGAAATGAACCTAAAAGAACTACATGACATATGGTGTATATTTTACCTGTTCAAACATAAAACAAAAATCACCTTTGGCTGACTTGTGCCCAATGCACAATCTATACTTTTTTTTTTTTTTTTTTTTTTTGAGACAGGGTTTCTCTGTGCTTTTGGAGCCTGTCCTGGAACTAGCTCTTGTAGACCAGGCTGGTCTCGAACTCACAGAGATCCGCCTGCCTCTGCCTCCCAGAGTGCTGGGATTAAAGGTGTGTGCCACCACCACCCGGCCCACAATCTATACTTGTATTAAGACAGGTAGGTATGTTACCTTTAAAAAAAATTATACACTTTTAGAGCAAGGGGAATAGACACCAATGAAAACTATGGCCCAGGTGATCCAACATCCAGACAGCTTCCAGGCTGCTGACTGAGATGATCCAGCCTCACATAATTCCACAGCCAAGAATTAACAATTATCCTAAATTTCCTTAGGGTCCAAGGATTACAAGCATCCACAATCAACAGGAAGTAGTTTAAAGAACTACATCCACATTTTCACAAGATGGGTTATGGATATTTATTATTATTTAAGAGGTGGGGTTGTTTACAAATTGTTATTGGTCATAGTCAAAATAAGGCTAAACAAAATAGTTAAATCCAGAGATCTCTTTCTAAAAAAAGAAAGGAGGATGTGATATAGAAATGATAGGATAAAGGGTAGATTACTGAATCTACATTATCCAAAAACAACTATTAATCTTACATATTTTATATTAGTATAGATTTTGGTTTACTGATACAAATTTAAAGACAATTTTGTTATACTGTATATATATTTCTACTCTAGTTTAGGTTATTATGTTTATGAAGCTCATTTAAAAATAGAGCTGAAGAGATGGCTCAGAGGTTAAGAGCACTGGCTGCTCTTCCAGAGGTCATGAGTTCAATTCTCAGCAACCACATGGTGGCTCAAAAACCACCTGTAATGATTTCTGGCACCCTCTTCTGGCCTGCAGAACACACACAGACACAAAACAAACAAACAAAAAAAAAAAACTTAGATTTTTCTTAACAGTGAGACTTGTCTATTCCTGGTAGCACCAATTATTTCAAAGAGGATGATGGGCATTGAAGAAATGCCATTGGAGTTTGTTTTCTTTTCTTTTCTTTTTTTTTTTTTGGTTTTTCGAGACAGGGTTTCTCTGTAGCTTTGGTGCCTGTCCTGGAACTAGCTCTTGTAGACCAGACTGGCCTCGAACTCCCAGAGATTCGCCTGCCTCTGCCTCCCAAGTGCTGGGATTAAAGGCGTGGGCCAACACCGCCCAGCGAGTTTGTTTTCTTCATGGCTAAAGCTAGCCATCTGGGTGAAGAAATTGCCTTTGGTTTAAATGCTGACAGTTACTGTCAAAGTGGACCAGCAGGATACAAGAAAGGCAACTGCCAAATGTTGCTAAGACAAGGTAGGACAATCCTTCAAAATTCCCTGCTTCACAGGAAAGTCTGTCAGATATGCAAGGCCTGTAAGCCAGAGTTGGATGCCCCAACATTACAGAGAAACTTTGGGTGACTGTCCAGTAAGCTTGAGATCCCTATCATTGGGTAACATTTCACCCTTCTGGGGTTTTTGGTGGAGTTGAGGATTAGCTAGCTATAGTTTTCTTTAGTTAGGATAAAAGATAAATTAGGTACAAAACTTTGGACTCACAAAGGTAAGGTAGATAACAGAGTATTATTTCTAATTTTGCCAAATATAAATAGATTAGATATTATAACTGTAATTCTTCTCTTTTCTTTTTTTTAATTCTTTTCAAACTTTATTTAATTTTATGTATGAGTACTCCGCATGTACACCTGCATGTCAGAAGAGGGCATCAGATCCCGTTGTAGATGGTCATGAGCCACCATGTGGGTGCTGGGAATTGAACTCAGGACCTCTGGAAGAGCAGCCTGTGCTCTTAACCGCTGAGCCATCTCTCCAGCCCCATAACTGTAATTCTTAATAACTGTATTTTTATATATAATCTTACTATGTTAAGGCAGGGAACCCAAACTAAGGATGATGGGAAGAAGAAGGTGGAGTCAGGAGTTTTGAGTGAGATGCAGAGGGAGCAGGAAATTAATGTGCCATGCTAATAAATAAAAATATGAGTTCATTCAAATGCATGAGCCACAAGTCTGAACTATCAGCTGAGCATTTATAAATAATATTAAGCCTCTGTGTTTATTATTTGGGAACTAGGGGGCAGGAGAAAAATGTCCGCCTACATAAGAATAAAACAAAAAGTTGAGCACACAACTTAGAGAGGTCATTCAATTTGACTTGTTATGGCATGTTCACATGTAACTGAAAATGTAAACAGAAATGCAGAGACTTATCATTAAATAAAAGGCAAATGGCTAAAATCTTGAAGCCATGGAGGAAACAACAGAGAAATACAGTAATAAGGGATGGAAGTTAAAGGGGCCAGAAAAAAGAGCTGAGGCATATGGGGCTCAGTGTGAGTACACACACCTGGCATACTTGAGGCCCTAATTCAACCTTTTGCATTACAAAACAAAAGATATAACTTACAGCTTTAAAAATTTTTTTAATTTCAGTTGGGTGGGCAGTGGTGGCACACACCTTTAACCCCAGAACTTGGGAGGCAGAGGCAGGCGGATCTCTGAGTTTGAGGCCAGTCTGGTATACATAGCTAGTTTCAGGGCAGCCAGGACTGTTACACAGAAAAATGCTGTCTTGAAAAAACAAACAAACAAACAAACAAACAAATCAAATCAAAAAACCAAACCATAGGGGCTGGAGAGATGGCTCAGTGGTTAAGAGCACTGACTGCTCTTCCAGAGGATCTGGGTTCAATTCCCAGCACCCACATGGCAGCTCACAACTATCTGAAGATCCAGTTGCAGGGGATCTGACACCTTCACACCAATGCACATAAAATAAAGTTAAATAAACCATAAAAAATATTTTTTAAAAACAAAACAAACCATAACAATAATTTTGTTTCCTCAGATGTTGGCAGCACTTGGGAGGCAGAGGCATCAGAGATCTGAATTGGAGGCTAGCTTAATGTGGTGGGATATTTGTAATCTATGTGAAGGTGTATTGCGATGACTGGTGTAATGAAAGGTTGAACAGTCAATAGCTAGGCAGAAGGTCTAGGTGGGGCTTCTGGGCAGAGAGAACTCTGGGAAGAAAGGTAGAGCTGTCAGCCAAACACGGAGAGGAAAGAGGAGGTGCAAGATAGAAGAGGTAACACCACATGACAAAATGTAGATTAATATAAATGGATTAAGTTAAATTGTAAGAGCTAGTTACGAACAAGCCTAAGTTATGAAGGCTAAGCTTTCATAATTATTAAGAAGTCTCCATGTCATTATTTGGGAGCTGGAGGCTGACAAAAAAGCTTGCTACAACCTGGTCTACAGGGTGAATTTCAGGATAGCCAGGGCTACACAGAGCAACCCTGTATTGAAAAACAAAAAAAACAAAACAAAATTGTTTTCAATAATTTTTAAGTTTTTTCTCCAAATGAATATATACAACTTTTTGATATGAATCTATGTTCTTATACAGTTGTAGGGAATACAAAGCTTCCTTGGATGTGCTGGTGTACACCTATAACCCAAGTAAGTACTCAGGTGGCTAAGGCAGTAAGACTTTGCAGCTGGAAGACACTTTGGGCTACATAGTGAGACCCAGTCCCAAAACTTAAAACAACAAAACTCGGGTCTGGAGAGATGGCTCAGGGGTTAAGAGCACTGCCTGCCCTTCCAAAGGTCCTGAGTTCAATTCCCAGCAACCACGTGGTGGCTCACAACCATCTGTAATGAGATTTGGTGCCCTCTTCTGGCCTGCAAGCATATATGTAGGCAGAATACTGTATACATACATAACTATTAAAAAAAAAAACTCCAAGAGCTTGTATACCCCTCACCTAGATTCCCTAGAGTAACATGTTAAAATGTACAGAATAAACACTCACTAGAGAAAATGACAGGACACAGTCATTTGCCCTTCACCAGTTTTCTATATAGTGGAACACAGCTCTGCATTCTAGTGTGTGTGTGTGTGTGTGTGTGTGTGTGTGTGTGTGTGTGTGTGTGTGGTGGGTGCACACAGCTCTGCACTCTACCATATGTTCAGCCACAGTCCAGACAACAAACATTTGCATTTAGACATCTTTCTACTGACCCTGGAAAGCACTGGCCCACTCTGTTTCTATGGTTACGGGCCGAGCGTTACTATTATTATTTCTTCTTAGTTCTTTAAAGGAAGGTCTTGCATGCAGCCCTGCCTGGCCTGGAACTCAGGGCAGACCAGGCTGGCTTTGAACTCTACTTCCTTACTATTGAATGCATTGCAGAAGTACACCACCACACAGGCAGCATAATTTATTATTTTTTAATTTAAAAATTAAACTGGAAAAATGGCTCAGCAGTTAGGTATAACTGGTTGCTCTTCCAAATGAGCTGGGTTCAATTCCCAGCACCCACACTACAGCTCACAACTGTCTCAGGGAATCCAACAGCCTCTTTTGGCCTTTGAGCGCATTGAATGCAAGTACACAGACATATATGCAGGTGAAACAACAGGTGTATATAGACTAAATAATAAAATAAAATTTAGAGATTTTATTTATTTTTTACATGGCATGTATATGCACCATGCCTGTTCAGTGCTCTTGGAGGCAGAGAGGGTGCTGAATCCCCTGGAGCTGGAGCTACTTTTGGAGTCGAATCAAAAATTCGGAGCCAGTGGTCTACACACTGAGTTACATACAACAAGTGAGTTGCTTGAAGTACATGCTAGGACTTGAACCCAATTCCTCTCTAAAAGAGTTCCATTGAGCCCCCCACCTTTTTTTGTTTTTGTTTTTTCGAGTCTTGGTTTGTCTAATATCCCTAGCTATCCTAGAACTAGCTCTGTAGACTAGGCAGCCTAGAACACAGAGAGATTCACCTGCCTCTACCTTCCCAGTGCTGGGATTAAAGGTGTGCCACCACAGAGATTGTTTTTGTGTGTAAGTATTCTTCCAAGGCCAGAAGATCCTTTGGAGCTAGAGTTACAGGTGTTTGTGAGCTGTCCAAGAGAGGGGTGGGATCCAAACCCATGACATAGCAGTAATAAGTGCTCTTAGAGGAAAAAAAAAATGCTCTTTTAACTGCTGGACCATCTTTCCATCCTAGCTTGATTTTGAGCATGATTTGCACCTTGGAGGAGAGGAGAGCCCTCAGCAGCGGTGACCCCGTCCGTTGCTGCTGTTCATGTCAATGACACAACGCAGGAGACAACGCACAGTGTTTCTCTTGATCATTCCTGTAGGCTACCTCCGGATGGCTTCCACCCATGAAGCCCCTTCTAGGAAGGGAAACTTACCCTGCCTTTTCAGTGAAGATGCAACCACAGGCTTTCTCATGGCACTCTTCCTTGCATTGCTGGTTACTGTGTCTTGCGGCATCAGTGATATGTTCATCTGTGAACCTAGAGCACAGATTAGATTACAATTCTTAACACGCCTAAAGAATGGGAAGCAACTCAGCTGGTGGAGTACACACTTAACATTCTCTAAATCCTGGATTGAGCTTCCATGCCCCAAGAACTGAGGATGCTGGCATAAACCTGTAATCCCAGCAAGCAGGAAGTGGAGGCAGGAGAATAAATTCAGGTCATCTTCCACTTTGAGGATACTCTGGGATTTAGGAGATCTTGTATCAAAATCAGATGGTGGTGGCTCACGTCTTTAATCCCAGCACTCCAGAGTAGAGGTAGGCAGAGAGAGATCCCTGTGAGCTCGAGGCAGCCTGGTCTACAGAGCTAGTTTTAGGACAGCCAGGGTTACACAAAAGAAGCTGTCTTGAAAAACCAAACTTAAATCCAAAAACCAGACCAAAACAAAACATGACATCATTTCTGCAGCCAGGTATGTAACCTTAGCAGGTGGGAAGAAGAGGCAGGAGGATCAAGAGTTAAAGCTACACAGTAAATTCAAAGTTAGACTCAGTCATGTGAGACTCTGTCTCAAAAATGTCAGTCCCAACCTTTCACTCAACTTTCCAGGCAAAATCTGCAGGTCAGTAAGATGGCTCAGTGGAGAAAGGTACATGTTGTCAAACCTAAAGATCCGAGTTCAATTCCTGGGAGCCACACAGTAGGAGAGAACCAACCTTCACTCAAGAACACACACACACACACAGTGTTACATTTTTTTTGTTAAATTTTGATTGATTTTTAAAGATTATTTTTATTTTACATGGACTGCTGTTTTTGCCTTTATGTGTATCTTTGTGAAGATGTCAGAACCCTTGGAACTGGATTTACAGAGAGTTGTAAGCTGCCATGTGGGTCTTCCAGAGCAGTCAGTGCTCTTTACTGCGGAGCCATCTCTCCAGCCCTCAATATTTTTATCTATTTCTGTATGTGTGTTTATGGGTGTGCCACAGGGCACATGTAGAGGTCAGAGGATAATTTAGGGGAATTAGCTTTTTTGTTCCATCACGTGGGTCCCAGGGATTGATCTCGATTATGCAGGTTCTCAGGCTTGATAGCAAGAGCCTTTACCACTAAGCTACCAATCCAGCCCAGACAAAAAAAATAATCTTAAAAGAAGTCTGCAAACCTGGGCCTAGAGCAATGGATGAGCAGCTAAGAGCACTGGCTGTTCTTGCAGAGAAACCAGTTGGGTTTAGGTCCCAACACCTGCATGGTGGCTCACACCTCTTGTGACTCCAGTTCCAGGGGATTCCATATTCTTTGGCCTCCTCAGGTACCAGATACATACACGGTACACAAACACAGGTGAACATACATACATGTATGTGTAATATGGTATTTAATAAATACCATATTAAATTCTGTAAAATAAAAATTGATTTGATAATAATCTAAAGCATCTAAGACAGGTGGTGGTGGCTCAAGCCTTTAATCCCAGCACTCAGGAGGCAGAGGCAGGCAGATCTCTGTGAGTTCAAGGACAGCCAGGTCTACATAGAGACACCCTGTCTTGAAAAACAAAAACAAAACAAAAGAACAAGAGTCCTTTCTCATAATTCCTCAGATTCTATGAAAGACAGAAGACAATCTCCAAATACCAAAGAAATAAGTAAAACTGTCTCACCAGATACTTCATCCTTCTTCCTCTTCCGTGGCTTAGAGGCAGCAGATTCACAAGCTGAGACAGACGATTCTGAGTGGCAGCCTAACTGGGGCACAATTATATCTTTAAGACCTTAAAAAGAAAAGTTTCTGAATTACTACAACTAAGAGGAAGTATGGGATCCTAACTAAAAAACAAACAAACAAAAAAAACCCAAACAAACAGGAAAGACCAGTTGCCTGATGTAAAATCAATTACTTGAGAGAACTCTCCCAAACACTGTGTTCTATTCAGGAATGGGAAAGTGGCTTGGGGGCAGAGCACTTGCTTAGAGTGTCTGAGGCTCTGAGGTCCATGTCCAGCATGTGCGAGTGCGCGCGCACACTTTGCTAGATTCATTGTCTCAAAAAAATGTTCATCTCTCGTTATCAACAGTTTCAACTATCCAATCAAACTTTTATGCCTGTGCTGTGCTGGCTGGAATTCAGAGACGGAATGCTAGTCAGGAGTGGTGGCTATGGCCTATAATCCCAGCATGTAGTGGAGGCAAGAGGATTGAGTTTGAGGGCAGCTGTGTTACTTTAGCAAAACACTATGTTTTATTTTTATTTTTTTGAGGGTTTTTTTTTTTTCAAGACAAGTTTTCTCTGTGTAGCTCTAGGTGTCCTGAAACTTGCTCTGTAGATCATGTTGTCCTTGAACTCACAGAGATCTGGGCTATTTCACTACCATGATGTTTTTAGTGACTCTCTGAACCAGGGGACCCGTAGGTTCTGTGGTCAACTGCCAGATGGTCTGTTTGTTTCTGGGGAGGCCTGTATAGCATGTCTCTTGAGCACTGGGATTAATGGTATGTGCCACCTCCGCCTGTCTACACTTTGGCTCTGTTGTAGCTGTGTTTTCAAAAAAGAAGCACTGGTGAGATGGCTCAGTAGATAGAAGAAGTATCGGCCATTCGGACCTGAGTTCAATTCCTGGAGCCCTTGTAACGGTGGAAGGAGAGAACTGACACCACAGAGTTGTCCTAAGATACGTACATGTGTGCCATTGTACACACATACACTAAAAATGTAGTGCTTTTTATCTGTACTGTCTAGCACCTGAAATTAAAGGCTATTAGGACGGGCTCCAAAGGCAGCAGCGGCACGCTTTCACTGCCATTTTATAAACACTGAATAACTGTCGATCTCCCCACCTACCGCTGGCATCAGAATTTAGGAAGTCCGAGAATTCCTGAGCCAACGTTTCATCACTGGCAAAGGCACAGAGACAAGCAAAGAAGTGGATGCACCGCGGGGCTGCCTCAGCCTTGGGAACGCTGGCCTTGTGTGACTTCAGAGTCTGGCAGGAGCAGAAGAAGCGGCGCTCTGACAAGCTTCTGGAGCTGATTTTCTGCATGAAGGACGTGTGTAAATAGCCCAAGCTGTGCTTTTGGCTCGTCTTGCATTTCACTACCATGATGTTTTTAGTGACTCTCTGAACCAGGGGACCCGTAGGTTCTGTGGCCAACTGCCAGATGGTCTGTTTGGTTTCTGGGGAGGCCTGTATAGCATTCAGGACTGAACTCTTCAGCGTCAAAGGGGTGGCCTCTGCCTGGCAGTTTACTGCTAGCTTGATGTGTTGACACTGGTTTTCCACGATGCCTTGAGTGGCAGCTTTCAAACATGAGGGGACATAACACCGGCCAGAGCTCAGCTGAGTGATGATTGTCCCATCCACTGTCTGGATTGTCGTCTCTGAAACACCTAGCTCCACAAAGCATCGGTAGTCAGGGCCCCGGTCTCTTTGCCGCACAGAGTACACCTGTAAATCAGAGCCTGTGATGATTTTGACAGCTTCAATACTAGGCTGCTTCCGGGCACCATAGCGAAATATGGTTCCGCATGTCTTGTTCTTACAGCTCAATCCACGGGTTCCATTGTACGTACCACAACGGGGACACTTCCTGATTCCCCTCATTGTGGCCTTCCCCAAGTCAGATAAGAAAGCTGGGACTTTAGTCCTCTGAGAGTTTGGTTCCATTGTTCACAGCCCCTAGAGAGAAAGGAGAACACATTTACACAAAGTTAAAGTTGAGAGAGAGAAAAAGAGAGGGAGGGATTTCTATTTATTTATTTTTGACATTGAGTCTCACTTTGTAGCTCAGATTAGTTTGTAAAACTGTAGCTGTGAGTTGGGCGATTATATGGTGCACACCTTTAATCCCAGCACTCAGGGAGGAAGAGGCAGGCAGATCTTTGTGAGTTCAAGGCCAGCCTGGTCTACAGAGTGAGTTCCAAGACAGTCAGAGATACACAGAGAAACCCTGTCTCGAAAAGCCCCCCCCCCCCAAAAAAAAAACAACAACAAAATATAGCTGTCCTAGGTAATTTCCACTTGACACAATCTAGAGTTACTTGAAAGGAGGGACCCCCAATTGAAAGAATGACTTTATAAGGCTGGGCATTTTCTTAATTTGTGATTGATGATGGGGGAGGGCCTGGACCATTGTGGGTGATACTATCCCTGGGCTGGTGGTCAGAAAACAGGCTGAGCCAGGTGGTGACACACACCTTTAATCCCAGCAGAGACAGGTGGATCTTTGTGAGTTCGAGGCCAGCCTGGTGTACAAGAGGTAGTTCCAGGACTGGCTCTAAAGCTACAGAGAAACCCTGTCTTGAAACACCAGAAGAAGAAGAAGGAAAAGGAGGAGGAGGAGGGGGGGGGGAGGAAGAGGAGGAGGAGGAGGAGGAGGAGGAGGAGGAGGAGGAGGAGGAGGAGGAGGAGGAGAAGAAGAAGAAGAAGAAGAAGAAGAAGAAGAAGAAGAAGAAGAAGAGGAAGAGGAAGAGGAAGAGGAAGAAGAGGAAGAAGAGGAAGAAGAGGAAGAAGAAGAAGAAGAAGAAGAAGAAGAAGAAGAAGAAGAAGAAGAAGAAGAAGAAGAAGAAGAAGAAGAAGAAGAAAAGAAGAAGAAGAGGAAGAAGAGGAAGAAGAGTAAACAGCACTCTTCCATGGCTTCTGCCTCAGCTCCTGCCTCCAGGTTCCTGCCCTGTTTGAGTTTCTGTCTTGACTTCCTTTGATGAATGAACAGTGATATGGAAGTGTAAGCCAAATAAACCCCCTTTTCCCCAGCTTGATTTTTGCAGAAATAGTAACCCTAACTAAGACAGTAGCCCAGGCTAGTCTCAAATTCTTCCAGAGTCTCCTGCCTTAGCCTCCGTATTGTTGGAACTGGAGAGCTGCTTCAGCACTGCATAAACTGGAGATGCCTGTACCCCAGTACTCAGGAGGTAGACAAGAGGAATAGGAATCCAGTGTCATCCTCAGTTACAATGGAGTTCAAGGCTAATCTGGGCTACATGAGAACCTGTCTCACTAAGAAAAGACCAGAGCGCAGGGAAGGTGGGTTACTTCCCTTTTACTCAGAACCCGGCCCAATCCTTTCCAATCCTACCTGTACCCGCTGCCAGGGCGCCCAGAGAACAGTGGCACTTGTGTCCATGAGACCCCAAGTGTGTCCCATTAGTCTGTGATGATCAGACGGCACTAACAGGCAAGTCCACGTGCACTGAGATATGCCCTGCCTAAGTCTTCTGGAGGCTGATCTTTGTTTGCTGTAACAATGCAGACATTCTGTTTCCCCCGGCAAAGCTCTGGCTCAGGGTTCCAGTCAGATTCCAGCTCCTCTAGTTAGAGATCTTGGCAGCCTAAAGCAAAATAAGAGAAGACAACTGTCATATGACAAAGATGGTTCCTTCTACTTAGAAATATGCAAGGGCCATTTCTAACAGGGCCGGGACCGCTCAGCAGTAGAGCACACACATGGCCTACGTGAAGTACTGGGCAGTCCTCAGAGCAGAACACCAGCACAAGTAAAAGGCCCCAGAGGATCTACAGCCCAATGTTTAACAATTATTTGAGAAATATATGTCAGATACTGCTATGAAAATTAACAGTTTATACTTCTAACAAGAAAGTAATATAGCAATAATAACACCACTATACAGGGCTGACAGAGCACTAGAATTTACAGTATAGAACTGATCACTCATCTCCCCTAATGTAACACATAATATCTTTGAGTCCCTTATGTTTTCTTATTTTTCACTGAATTCTTTGTTTTGTTTTTCGAGACAGGGTTTCTATGTGTATCCCTGGCTGTCCTGGAACTCACTTTGTAGACTAGGCTGGTCTTGAATTCAGAGAGATCCACATGCCTCTGCCTCCCTGAGTGCTGGGATTAAAGGCGTGAGCCACCACTGCCTTTAATGTCAGAAAAGTGCATCAGATCCCCTGGAACTGGAGTTACAGATTACTGTGAGCTACCATGTGTGTTCTGGAAACTGAACCCTGGTCCTCTGCAAGAACAACAAATACTCTTTACCACTGAACTATCTCTCCAGCCTTACGCCTCATTTTTTGAAACAGAGTCTTTTACTGAACCTGGAACTCACCATTTTGTCTAGACTGATTGCCAAGCAAACCCCAGGGATCCTCTTGGCTCTGCCTCCCAAGCACTGGGAATACGGGTTTGCACCTCTGTGCCTGACTCTATGTGTGTTCTGCGGATCAGAATTTAGGTCCTCATATTGCAAGGCAGGAACTTCACCATAAGAACCATCTTTTCTTCTTTTCTTTTTTCTTTTCTTTTCTTCTTTTCTTTTCTCTCTCCCCCTCACCTAGACAGGGTTTCTCTGTGTAACAGTCCTAGCTGCCCTGCAACTAGCTCTTGCAGACCTCAAACTCACAGATCCACCAGCCTCTGCCTCCCAAGTGTTGGGATTAAAGGCATGCGCCACCATCACCCGGCTAATGCTTTTTTTTTTTTTTTAAAAAAAAAAAAAGATTTATTTATTATGTATACAACATTCTACCTCCAGAAGAGGGCATCAGATCTCAATACAGATGGTTGTGAGCCACCATGTGGGTTGCTGGGAATTGAACTCAGGACCTCTGGAAGAGCAGCCTGTGATCTTAACCACTGAGTCATCTCTCCAGCCCCCAATGCTTTTTTATTAAAAGAAAAAGAAATAATCTTCTTGTGATTCTTTTTTAAAAAAAAATTAGGGGCAAATCAGATTGTATAACATACTGCCAATTCTACATAAAAGTCATAGAGAACTAATTTTACAAATACACATACACATGCATATTTGTATTAGCTTGTGCACAGTCTTTTTGCCTTGTTTCTGGGACAGGGTCTCACTATGTAGCCCTGGCTGGCTTGAAACTCCTGGAAATAATGAGATTCACTTTCCTCTGCCTCCCGATTAAAGGCATGAGGTAGCATACCCAACTAATTAAAATGTTTCCAGATATTTATTTGTATTGTGTATCTGTCTGTATGAGTGTATGCACATGTGAATGCAGATGCCTATGGAGGCCAGAAGAAGGTATGGGATCCTCTGGAGCTGGAGTTACATGCAGTTAAAAAGCTTCCTGAGGGGCTGGAGAGATGGCTCAGTGGTTAAGAGCATTGCCTGCTCTTCCAAAGGTCCTGAGTTCAAAAGAAAAAAAATTAAGATAAAAAAAAAAAAAGCTTCCTGTGCTGAGAACCAAACTCTTGTCCTCTAAAGAGCAGCACGCACTTTTAACTGCTGAGCTATTGTTATTCTAATTCCTGCAAATCTTTATTTAATACAGTATTTCAGTGTGTTGGTAGGTCATATTTGTTTATCCACATTTTCTCCCCCAAGACAGGGTTTCTCTGCTTAACAGTCCTGAGTGTCCTGGAACTAGCTCTGCACACGAGGCTGGCCTTGAACTCACAAAGATCCACCTGCCTCTGTCTCCTGAGTGGCGGACTGAAGGGTGTGTACCACCACCACCTGTTCCTTTTTGTTTTGTTTTGTTTTTGCTTTGCTGGCTTTTTCTGAAACAGGGTTTCTCTGTGTCTCTCTAGCTGTCCTGAAACTCACTCTACAGACCAACAGGCTGGCCTTGAACTCACAGAGATCTGCCTGCATTCTACTCCCCGAGTACTGAGATTAAAGGTGTGTGCCACCACCTCCCAGTTCCTTCTTTTATTTTTTTAAGTTAGGGTTTTACTCTGTGACCTGGAACTTACTTCGTAGCCCAGGCAGGCCTCGAACTCCTGATAATCCTCTTGCCTCAGTCTCCTACGTGACAGGATTACAAGCATGGACCACAATGCTGGGTTATATATTTCAATACATGTAAACAATGTATAATGATCAAACACAGTAAACATGCCTATCTCCTTTGAACACTGAACATTTTCAGACCTGAAAAGCCTTTTCCAAAGGAGGTGTACTCTCACTATTCCCACAGACAACCTAAGATTTCTGCATCTGCATAGTCTTTTCCCTTAAAGTCATCTGACTACAGTGGGCATCATATGGTATCCGCTGTAGTGTTATTTGCAGACTACTGAATATGTATGTTGAGCAAGATTTCTCACGATTAGCCACTGTAAATAGTATCTGCATGAAAGGAGCTAAGTATAGAAGATCATATATTGTATGACTGCATGAATGAAACATTCAGAATAGGAAACAGTCTAATGGTACAGGGCTAGGTGGAGAAGGGATTTAGTAGTGATGGTTTCTTTTGAGATGATGAAAGATATTATACAACTCTATGAAATGTTTTTCAATTCTGTAGATTTACAAGATCTCTTGAGTTGTAATATTTTTTAAAAGGTTGATTCTATGTGTACAGCATTTCAATAAAACTATTACTATCTTATAAAAGAGAGGGACAATGAAATTCAAATGTTAAAGGCATAAAAAAGAGAAAAAGAGAGATCTGCAGATGGCTCAGTGATTAAAAGCACTTGCTGCTCTTGCAGAGGACTTGGGTTTAGTTCCCAGTGCCCACATGGCTACTCAGAACTGCCTGTAAGTTCAGCTCCAGAGGTCTAATTCTTTCTTCTGGTCTCTGAAGGGATGAATAGACATACATGTAAACAAACATTCAAGCACATAAAATAAAAATAAGCAAATCTTTTGAGAAAAAAAAAGGTGGTGGGGAGGCCAGTGAGATGGCTCAGAGGTTAATAGCAGAGAAACTGGGTTCAGTTGCCAGGACCCATCTCTAACTCCTGCTCTAAGGGATCCAATGCCTTCTCATTTCTGAGGGCACCAGGCATCTAGGTGGTGGTATATAGACACTCATGTACATAAATAAATGTTAAAAAATTTTTTTAAAGCAAGGGCTGAGATATAGTTTAATCATAGAGTGTTTACCTAGAGGCTTCTAGTTTCAGTCTGTCGTACCAATTAAATTTAAAAAAAAAAAAAGCGGAGCTGGAGAGATGGCTCAGAGGTTAAGAGCATTGCCTGCTCTTCCAAAGGTCTTGAGTTCAATTCCCAGCAACCACATGATGGCTTACAACCATCTGTAATGGGGTCTTGTGCCCTCTTCTGGCCTGCAGGCATACACACAGAAAGAATACTGTATAATAAATAAATAAATAAATAAATAAATAAATAAATAAATAAATGCCATCTTGTGAGTTCAAGGCCAGCCTGGTCTACAAAGTGAGTTCCAGAACAGAAATCCCCTCTTAGGGAGGAAAAAAAGTCACCAGAAAAGAGCTTTAGAAGAGTTAGGACTTTATATGGAAAGGACTCTATAGGAGTCACAAGCCTGGAAACGAGGTACTTCCCAGCATGCTGAAGGCCCTGGATTTAATCCCTAGCACTGTAAGTCACACAAATAAACCAGAAAGTAAAATTTTAGCAAAGTACTTATTAATAGAATGTAAAGTACTCATTGTTACATTGTTAGTGTGTATATATCTCATCATTCTGTTGGAAAGGATGTAAATCAAAATATGTAGTAATAAACACTTTGCTTTAACAATTTCACTTCTAAGATATCATAATTTGTATGTATATACTTTCATTTTTACTTTTAATCACATGTCCATGTGTGTCTGTGTCAGGCTATGTCATGAGTACAGGCAGGCATTCTGGAGGACAGATGCACTGGATACCCTTGGAACTGCAGTTAGAGGTAGTTGTGAGCTACTAGACATGGGTGCTGGGAATTGAACTCAGACCCTCTCCAAGAGCAGTATGCACTCTTAACCACTGTGACATCCTTCCAGCCCCTACTCTGCCTTTTGAGATAGGGTTTCACTGTACACCTGAGCTGTTCTTCAAGTCAATATGTGGACCAGGCTAGCCTCCAAATCACAGAGATCCTCTGTGAGATTTCCTAACTGCAGAACAGGAAGAGAACTTTCAGTAAAGAACTAAGTAAGTGTAACTAGGTAACAGGCTACTGTAAAACCACTAAAAGTTATATCTGTGTAATGAACATGTATCAACACATGCTGTGGAGTGTAAAAAGGGTAGTGATTTGGGTATGCTATGTTTTGTTTTAAAAAGAAAAAAAACTTAATGGGGGGGGGCGGCTGGAGAGATGGTTCTGTGGTTAAGAGCACGTACTGCTTCTAGAGGACCCAAGTTTGGTCACCAGCACCCACATCAGGGGGCGTACAACTTCCTATAACTCTATTTCCAGGGAAACCAACCCCTTTGGCATATTGAAACACACACACATTTTTTTTTTAAAGAAAGAACACAATATAGTTGTCTATTGTCTCAGCAGTGATCTGTGACATGGGAAATGGAGATTTACATTTCATTTTTTACTATTTGAATTTTAAAGCATGTACTACTATGACTCATTACAGCTTTCTTCTTTTTTCTTTCTGAGACAGAGGTTTTCCTAGACCAGGCTAGCCTTGAACTCAACAGACCCGCCTGTCTCAGGCAGAATGTTGGGATAAAAGCGTGCGCTACCACGTCCAGCTAGTGTTGGGGGAGGGAGGAAACGTGGGGGTTAGGGTCTGCGACCTAGCCTAGCTGTCCTCGAACTCGAGATCCTCTTGCCTCTGCCTCCCGAGTGCTGGGATGACAGGCAGTGCAACCGAGCCCGGCTTGCAGACTGTCTTTAAAGGATACACAAGGAACGCGACTTGTGAAGAAGCTGCGCTGGAAACCTGAAGGGTCTCGGGATGGTCGATTCTCTTTACAAAGAGGATGAACATCGCCTGGCGCTGGCAAAGGGAACCCAGGAACTAGGTGGGTTTCGCCCTGAAGCCACCCAGCTGCAGATCGGTGTGTGGGACGCTGGTTTGGGACGTGTTTAGCGCTCCCCAGGTGAGAAGGAACTGCTGGAGTAGCGCATTCACTGAAGGGATCTGTGGAGGCGCTATTTAGGGATGAGACTGTCGGATTGGAGCGAAGTGTCAAAGCTCGCAAGACTTCACTGAGTGTGGGGAATCAGGTGGGTTGCTGTCAGATCAGAGTCCGGGCCTCAGTCCCACCGTGTTTAGGAGCGCGCGCCTAAGCGCCGCTTCCGGGACCATCCGTCTGCAAAACGCATTTCCCATGCGACCTGCATCCCGGCATCCTCCGCACCACACTCACTTCCGGTGCCAAGTAAGGCCCCAACAGAAGTGTAACTACCCCGACACACAATTTCGAGAACACATTCTCCGGCTTGACTCCCACCCCCAGCTGTGCCCGGCCGCTGCACAGCCTCGCACACAGGGGGCTCCCTTACCTGTCTCGCACCTCTAGGGACCTCTCGATGGCGACCGCCCTCGCCGCCTCTCTCTTTGCCTGTTGTGGCCTTTTACAAACGCGGTCAAACTGTTCGCTGTAACGACAGTCGTTATTGGTCAGGGCCACACCACGTGCATCAAGGACCCGCCCACATCAGCTGGAGTGCATCAAGGACCCGCCCACATCAGCTGGAGAGGCACGATGGGATTTGTAGTGTTCTCAGCTGAGAGCGCTGCTTTTCGGATATGGTCTAGTGAAGACTCTGGCTGTCACACGTTCGTGGGCTTCTTAGCTTGACCTAGAGGTACAGCAAACACCCGTGTGACCCCGACTACTTCGAGCCGAAACAACTCTGTACTGAAAACATTGCTACTGACGCTCTATTTTATTAGCAGAACCAGCTGCAATTTCGAGTTTGCGTCGCGCTCTGTTTCATTTGTATGGCTCTTTTCCTCCCGTGGCACTTGCCCATTAGCTTGAACGCTTCCCTCTTGGAATGAGCCGAAACAGGCTTTATGTACATTCGCTTTTCAGAATCATACAGAATAAATCTAAATTCTTCAGAAATTTTTCAGTTACTCCAAATAGCAATGCCGTTTACGCGAGGCTTGCCTATAGGAAAATTCTCTACCCTGGCTACTTACTGGGGTGGAGCTGTAGGAAAACTGCTTTACTCTCACCAAATTTTGCTCTTCTCAGTCGTAGAAGTGGTCTTTCCTGGGATCAAATTTCCTAATATTGTTTCAGAAACTGGAGGAAGAAGTTAAAAAAGAGCTTTCTCCTCCCCACAGTTGACTTAAAAAATTCATACTCATTCTCGAATCATCCGGATGATTTTTTTAAAACAAAAACATGGCTTTTCAATAGCTTAGTTTCCATAAGAGATGGTTGTGAGACACTGTCTGGTGGCTGAGAATTGAACCCAGGACTTCTGAAAGAGCGGGCTGTGCTTTTAGCCACTGAGCCATCTCTCCAGCTCCCAAACCTGCGTTTCTCCTTTGCCCTAAGGTTCAATATCAGACTGTCAAGTAGAAACATATAAGCACTTTCTTTCTGGGTGCTGTTTCTCTTTCTCATTCATTGTACCGTGGTTCATGAAAAACCCCTTGATGCTCACCCTTATAAAGATTTCTTGGAACACATGGCTGTGCCAGCCTGCAATTCTTTCCAATTGCCATAAAGTACAGGACATTTATTAAGCCATTCACTGAATTGCATGTCCCCTGTGGTATCTGACAACCCCACTGTCTCCCTATCTGGTGGAATGTTTCTCCACTTCCATTAGGCCTGCATATTCCTGTTCCTGTGGTAAATGGGTTCCTTAGAAGGGTCAGGAGCTCAGCTGTGGCTGCAAGTATGTTGTTCTGTTTTTCCTTCTCTCCCCGCTGTCTTTCTGTACACCTACTTGGCTATTGTCTGTCCACTAGTCATTAGCCAATGTTTACTTTGTTCCAACCTTTGTTAACAAATCTTTCATCACTCTCTTTTTTTTAAATATTTATTTATTTATTATGTATACAACATTCTTTCTACATGTATGCCTGTAGGCCAGAAGAGGGCACTAGACCTCATTACAGATGGTTGTGAGCCACCATGTGGTTGCCGGGAATTGAACTCAGGACCTTTGGAAGAGCAGGCAATGCTCTTAACCGCTGAGCCATCTCTCCAGCCCTCATCACTCTCTTAAAACTAAAACAACTTTTAAAAATTTCCATGGGTGTTTTGCCTGCTCATACAGACCTGGTGCCGGTGGAGGAGAGAGAGCATCAGACGGCCTGGAATTATAATTATAGATGGTTGTCAACTGATACTTGAGTGCTTGGAAGCAAATGCTCTTAACAGCTGTCCCCAGTCCCAGCATTTGATCTTTGTCTCCTGCCTGATAATCAAGTGTTCACTCAAAAACAGGTCAGTGTGCTCTGAAGGGTTTATTATGCAAGAATGGAGATAGGCTTCTATGGTGTTGGGTAAACTGTAACAGGTATTGAGAGGCGAGCTGTAGTTTCAGTTGTCTTGCGCACCATTTGAAACAATGTGAGTGAGGGCTGGAAGAGTAAAGAGAGGGGGCGTGAAGTCAACCCCAGAGGCTCAGACACATTAGGAAGCAAATCGCAAAATGAGCTGGATCCCTTTGTGTAGCAGAAAGGAAGCCAAGGGAGCTCAGGACTAGTAGAGAACTCTTTCCCCAAGAACCCAGGGCTGACCTCCTATGCTGTCGCTAGGGACTGGACAAACACGGTCTACTGTCCTTGACCTCCAGCTTTCAGCCACTGTGGCTGCTGCTTCTGTGTTAGGATTATTTATTTATATAGGTTTTTCAAGAGAGAGTTTCTCCGTGTAACAGTGGGAACTTGGTTTGTAGTCCTGGCTGGCCCCAAACTCACAGAGGTCTGCCTCCTGGATGCTGGAATTAAAGGCGTGAGCCACCATGCCTGGCATTAATTTTTAAATGCTATAAAGTGTTCTGCCTGCATGTACTAGTGCATATGCTTGCAAGGCCCAGAGGCCACTGGACCTACTGGAATAGGAGGAAATAGATTGCTGTATACTGCCATGTGGGTGCTGGGAATGGAACCCAAGTCCTCTGCAAGAACAGCAAATGCTCTTAACTGCTGAGCCACCTCTCTATCTCCCACCTTAAAGAATTCGTTACTGTACCCAAAAGGGAAGGAACCGTGAAAGCTGGAGAAGTCCCTTCAGGGAAGGAGTGCAGGAAGACCTGAGTGTGAACTGCTGACACCACCATGTCACAGGCCCTAGCCAAGGACCCATGAGAAAAGGGCAGAGCTGTCTGTCTCTTCAATCCCAGTGAGGCTCAGAGGGATGGCAAAGCCTTACTCAGGGGTCTGAGTGCGAATGTTGCCAGCCATGTCCAAAAAATGTATACCACAGCTATTCCCCCTGAATTTGCAGCTTGAAGACTGCTCCCCTGAAGAGACTGTTCCTACCACGATTAGCTAAACATGCCTCCATGATCCCCTTGTATACCAGAAACGTTGCTGTTCTGTTCAGCTGCATGTAATAAACACCCCAATCTTCTAGAATGTTGAGGTTTCTTCATTAGTTCAGTGCACTGAACGAACAGCTTTTCTGTGCATCTGTGTGTTCATTTTTACTTCATTCTCTCGCCACCCCAGTTAGGTTCAACCCCCAGAGCTATAGTAGTACCTCCCTTTCATGGTCCCTGCTAGTACCTGGGCCAGCAAACACAAGGTAAAGAAGAGATAAAAGTACGGCAGCACAACTATCCTACCTAGAGGGTCCCTGGAGAATGCCCAACAAGCACATGCTACAAGGGCTGGGATGCAGCTCAATTAGTACAACCCTTTGCTCCTCAGGACTGCATATTACAGGGCATAGTGGCACATACCTGTAATCCCAGAAAATGGGGTGTGGAGGCAGGAGGATCAGAAAGTATTAGCTACACAGCAAGTCTGAGACTAGCTTAGACTACGTGAGGCCTCGTCTCAAACGAAACCAACCTCTACCAAATCCAAAACAGAGTCTAGAAGACTCTAGTTAGGGAGATTCATGTCTGGAACACCACCTAATACATATATGGGTTTATCCTGTAACTGAACTCTGCTTCACATGATTCAACCATCTGTATTAGGAAGCTTTGATTCAAAGACTATGCTGTAGATTTTAGGAAGGTGCAAACTCCTTGCTCTAAGTGAATATTTTTATCATAACTAAAATGTATACATATGTACATCAGTGGTTCTCAGCCTTCCTAATGCTTCAGTCCTTTTATACAGTTCCTCATGTAGTGATCCTCAACCATAAAATTTTGATTGCTAATTCACAACTGTAAGTTTGTTACTGTTGTGAATTGTAATGTAATATCTGATATGTAGGATATCTGACATCTTATTCACAAGGGAACTTCGACCCCCAAGTTGAGAACCACTGGTATGTGCACCTGAATGAAGTGCCTGTGGAGGCCAGAAGAGGGCACCAGGTCATCTAGCTAATTGAAGCAGTTGTGAGCTGTCCACTGTGGGTGCTGAGAACCAAACTTGGTCCTCCCCGGGGCAGCAAGTGCTCCTAACCACTCAGCCTCCTCTTCAGCCATGAATCCCACTATTGGAGAATAAAACCACTACCATGGTTTAAAGCCAAATTTGAAGGAAGTTTTAATTAAATACTAGCCAGGTGGATGGGCTCTGGCCCGGTACATACTCATGTTCCTGGGAAATAATGGCCCAGAATCAGGTAAGGCAAGGGCTTAAGAAAAACCCATAATTCATCGCATTTCCCATCACGTTCATCCAGATGTACCTCTGGCCTACATCCAATCAGGGACAGGTATATATCTTGACGTGTGTCCTGCCTGTGAACCACCTGCCCACATGTGATCAAGCACATCCGGTACAGATGGGTCAAACAAACTTGTTTAGGGTACTGAAACCGTGTGGTTTGTTAACTCCCATAAACAGTAGCCTCCAGCATTTCAGGAACTATCTGTCCTTGGGCAAGGGGCCTGCAGAGCAGAAGCATTTTTGTTTAATGGATCTCTTACGTATTGTAATTAAAACTTAAAATGTAACTGGCTCTCATACAGACCAAGTCACTTCTTTCAACTCTTGCATTATACTGTAATTAACCAGGTGAGAAAACACCTCACTGATGGAATTCTGAACTTTGGCTGACTTTCAAAGACATCTTGAGTTGGGCAGTAGCACACGCCTTTAATCCAGACAGAGGCAGCATGATCTCTGAGTTCCAGGACAGTTAAGGATACACAGATTACACAGAGAAACCTGTCTTGGAGGAAAAAAAAGGTCATTGAAGTCTGTGAAACTGGAGTTATGGATGGTTGAAAGTCAACATTAGGAATTGAAGCAATGTCCCTTAGAAGAGCAGCAAGTGTTCTTAACCACAGAGACATCTCTCCAGCCCCTAACAAACATTTCTTTTGGAAACGATAACACATGATTTAAAAATAACAAATATAAAGCTTAAGAAAAAAAGAAATAATAGTTTAATTATGTGTATTTCTAAGGCTATACATACATATGTGCAAATGCCCATGGAGGCCAGGTCTAAAACTCATGGTCATTCTCCTGCCTCAAGTTCCTAAGTGGTGGGATTACAGACCTCCTTAATCATACAGTCACATGAGTAATGTCTCAAATTAAAGGGAGGGAAAAAAACCTCTGCTCAGTTGCAACATCTTCATTCCATTAAGACTGAAAACTCAATGTTTTGGGATGTTTGTCAATAAATAAAATGGAATAACTTCTCAGTGACAGTTTCAATGAGAATGGCCCCCATATGCTTACATATTTGACTGGCTTTGTTGGCAGACTGTTTAGGAAGAACTAAGTGTGTTGTCCTTGCTAGAGGTATGACTCTAGGGGGTGGGCTTTTAGGTTCAAAAGCCCGTGCCCGCCGCTATCTCTTTCTGTCTCTCTTGCCCTCTCAACACCATGCCTGCCTGCTACCATATTCTCCGCCATGATTATAATGAACTTAACCCTCTGTAAGCAAGTCCTCAATTAAATGTGTTCTGTTATAAACTGCCTTGGTCATGGTGTTTCCTTACAGAAATAAAACAGTAACTAAGGCAGGTCTTTAATTCCAGCACTAGAAGCAGAGGTAGGTCAACCTCTGAGTTCAAAGCAAGCCAGGGTTTGTTTTGAGACTCTGCCTCAAAACAAAAATAAGCAAAAAAAAAAAAAACAAAAAAAAACAAAAAAAAACAAAAAAACACCAGAAAAAAAAGGGGCTAGAAAGAAGGTTCAGTAGTTAAGAGCATGTACTGTTCGTTCATATTTCAGATCCTGGTACCAATGACAGCTCACCACCTGTAACACCAACTCCAGGAATTTAACACCCTCTCTTCTGGCATCCACAGGCACCTGCACCCACAAGCAGAGCTACACACATATATGATGTATATTTCAAAAAGAACCAACAGCTTTAAATATTTATTTATATTTGTGGCCATGGGGTGGGTGGGGTGCACACCTGTGGAGGTAAGAGGACAACTTGTTGAGAGTTAGTGCTCTACTTCCACTAGGTGTGACCAAGGATCACAGTCAGGTCATCAGGCTTGGTGGCACTCATCTTTACCTGCTGACCAATAAGTAAGTAAAAGTTCTCAGGAATCATCACTCGTTTAAAAGATCTGCTTTTTAAAATCTTTTATGCACATATTTTGTTTTACTACCTGGACTACAATCCCACTAGCACCTATAGTTCTTTTTTTAAAAATATTTATTTATTTATTTATTTATTTATTTATTTATTTATTTATTATGTATACAATATTCTATCTGTGTGCATGTCTGCAGACCAGAAGAGGGCACCAGACCTCATTACAGATGGTTGTGAGCCACCATGTGGTTGGCGGGAATTGAACTCAGAACCTTTGGAAGAGCAGGCAATGCTCTTAACCACTGAGCCATCTCTCCAGCCCCCGCACCTATAGTTCTTATTGAGTCTAACTGTGAATGCAACTTAGTCTTCTGAGGAACTCCATCATGAATCTAAAAAGAAGGTGAGCACAGAGGTAAGACAAGAGAAGGAAAACCTGGACTGCACGTCTCATTTTCACCAGGAAGATCAGACTCTGGCTTCAGTTAGGTAAGCCCGCAGAGCCTCTGTGGAACCCATGCAGACCATGGCTTCAGGGATACGGTGAAAGAACTGATTGTTAACAACAGAATACACCCGGAAAAAACTCACACACACAATAATCACTGCAAGAAGATCTCACAGGTCATAGAAAACATAAAGGAATTTTAATATCCAAACAGTCAGGATAAAGAATACTGGCTCCATGACCCACAAAGAGTCACTCAGCTTCTATACAGTACCAGAGAGTAAAATTTGAATGCATATTGCAAAGAAGTTCAGTTTAAAAACCTTAATTTCCTTACCTGATACTTATACCAG